GGCGTGGTGACGATGAACGTGAGATTGCGCGGGCCCGAGATTTCAATCTTGGCGTTTTTAAGGAAGATAGTGCTGCTCTTAGCGTCGACCTGCTGGATCATGCTTTCCTTCTTGTAGCCCGTAAAACGGTTGCACGTAGCACGAAATCCCGCTTGCTGGACACGAGGAAACGCCTGCTGCTCGCCACTTTAAGCCAGGAGAGCACGGACGTAGATGACCGGTCCAATGAAGTTGTAAATCAGCCCACAGTCCGTCTTGCTCGTGGAAATCGTGAACGCTTGGTACTTGGAGCGCGAGCTCACCGTCACGATCAGGAAGCACATGATCTCGTCCTCTAATAAGTTGTGTCCTTATTGACAAACAGCAGACGTTCGTGGTCGGTTAGCAGCAATGGAGCGTTTCTTGCGCTTGAGCAACGCAGGCCCCGCCAGTAAAATGCTCCCTTGTCTTGAGCAAGCTGTCGCAAAGGCGCATGAAAGGCGACCGCACATTAGCGACAATGACATTGTTGTTCTTGCAGTCCACGGCACTGCACAAGTTCCGCCGCATGGCGAGCACCATTTCCTTGGGGATCTCCACCTCCTTCTGTTTTAGCACGCCGTCATTGCCCAAGCCTTCTCAGAATGCTTTTACGGAGTACGACATACTCCCTGGCCATCTCCTTCTATAGAGCGGACGAAATACTTCAGTGATAGATGAGGCTTCATCCTGGCATTCAACTCGCGGTGAAATCGCTCTAAAGGGTTATTCGTCCGATTCACGATATATTTTATGACTCGATATATATTCCACAGATTGGGAGGGTATGTTTCCAACCAAGTTTAAAAAAGTATCTCCAAAACATCCTCCACGTTCTTTGAGAATACTCCAGCCCTTTTACATTGCAACGCTTTTTTTATCTCGCGTTTCACACAAGGGTCACCCTGGATAGCTATTTTATCCGGATCGATTACTGTGAGCTAGTCGACAACTCCGAACAACATGGCAATGGAAGCCTCGTCGTTTAGCATGCCATACTCTTTTAGTTTCCTTCTACACGCTTGCTTGAAGTGAAACAAGCAACCGACTATGCGTGTAGAAGGAAACAGACCCCGTGTAGCAAGAATCATGGCACCTTCGAAGTCACACACGACATCTCCAGGCTTAATGTCCTTTCCCAACGCAAACTCGGTACAGGTGAACATCTTAGTGTACAGTGTTTCTTCGTTGCCAACGTGAAAAATACAGGCACAAACAACTCTGTGTATTGGTCGTACATCATTAGTGTCACAAACTGATGGAAGCTCTTTGGGGTGCAGCAAAATGTGCCATCGACAAACACATGGGCACCGTCAATACGAAGCAAATTGTGAAGCTCAGGGTGCGACCAGCCAACCAGCCTCTCAATCCCTGACTTTTTTTGCTTTGCTCTAGTGTCACCATGCCACACGTACTGGAACTAAAAAAAAACCAAGATCACTGCCAGATGCATTGGCTCTCTCTGGACTCTCCAGTAAAGAAAAATATTGTTTCCCGATTTTGCGTTTCCAACACGTGAAACCACTTGCTTACGAGAGAGACCGCAAAAAAACACACGTCGAGTTTTCGTAAAATTTTTTGTATGCCAACGTCCAAATTTTGGTTGCTAAAATATCTTGCTCAGCTAAATCGTCGACAAAAGCTTTCATTTCTTCTTCCACATCGACGCAGACCGAATCATCACTTGCCAAATCAGCTACGGGTCTGCTTTTGCATGTATGTGGAACTGAGTTCTTAAAGTCGTAGGCATAGTATCAGCATTGAAGTAGAACTTGGTAGGGCACAGCTTTGGCTGTCTATAGAAGCTGCATCTGTAGGTTATTTGGCTGTTGAAATGTTTGCACGAGTGTCTCAAAACCCTGGTGGTAAATTTTGGTTTTAGCATCCAATCTCGGGCCTCGAGAAGATGGCAAGTGCTGCTAAGTCCGGGACATCGAAGCTCACGGGGTAGGTGCATATTCCTGTGTGGTGGGCACAGCGAAAGATGCCAGCCCAAGCAAATAAACTCGAGGAGCGTCGCGAGCTTGACGTCGTCATGGCATCCGGGAGAGACGAATCTTGGGTCGCGTCCGGAGCGACAAGTACGAGCGCAGGGACGGAATTGAAGACGGAGGAGGATGCTGGCGCTTCAAGTCCGGTTCTCCGAGCGACGAACTAACGGGACTCCGAACAGTCCGGATGCCGATGCCTTCCAGACGCTGCAGACATTCAGGACCAAGGACGCCGGCCTGGTAATCAGACATGAATAAATCATCTTCCCGGTCCTCAGCCATGATGTCTTTCAAATTGTCTTCCTCAGCATCGGGTTTCGGAACGTTCAGTCCAGGTGCAAGAACAATTTGCGATGGAACCCCTGAAGCAATGTCACGCCAATTCAGGAGTTCCAGAGCGAGCAAGTGTTGAAGGTCCTGAGCGACTCCCAACACAACTTCCGGGTTCAATCTGGACGTCCGAGTCTGAGACCATCCTGGAATCAGGTTGCGAAACCTGAAACCGGCCTCGAAGAACAGT